GTTATTCAAGTGCAACAGTGAGTATTGCTAGTTAAGAGGTAATAAAGGGCTATATGCTTGTCCATGAAAACTCTGGCTAATGAACTCAAATTTAACTGGTTTGTCGAGCTTCCATAGCAGAAGTTGTGCCATTTATGAGATCTGCTAAAGTCAGAGACAAGTTTTGGATCTCCTTTTTGAGTTGTATTATCTTTGTCATGAAAATTTCATTCACAGTATATACATGAAGAGTGAGTTCTCCAACAGCCAGGCATTGAGGAGGATGCCTCTAGGGTGATATAGTGAGACGCTGTCTCAAAAAAAAAAAAAAAAGAAAGGGTGAGTTCTTCTAGGTGGCCTGTGACTGTGCTTGCCTCATTTTGTTGGTTTCTAGATATTCCTCCCAGAGAAACACAAGCCACTAAGGGGGTGGGGGGAGTAATTTGAAACACTGGAGGTTCTCTGACAATTAGCTTCAACACATAAGGTGAGTTAGTGTGTAGTATGGGGGTGGAAGGCTGATGTTCACTTAAAGAAGTAATTAGTACTTCAATGGGGTACAGACTATGTTGGGAGTATAAGAATCGATTAGCACACCAGGAATGAACCTAATTTCTTCCTCTTAGGATACATAGATTTCTTGAATAGAGTTAACAGGTTTCTGTAAAGCAGGTTGAAATGTTTCTTTTCTTTTTTCTTTTTTTGAGACAGAGTCTCACTATGTTGCCCTTGGTAGAGTGCTGTGACATCACTGCTGATAGCAACCTCCAACTCTTGGGTTTAAGCGAGTCTCTTGCCTCAGCCTCTCAAGTAACCAGCACTACAGGCACCCGCCACAACGCCTATTTTTTTGTTGTAATTGTCATTGTTGTTTGGCAAGCCCAGGCTGGGTTCAAACCTGCCAGCTCTAGTGTATGTGGCTGGCACCCTAGCAGCTGAACTATAGGCATGGAGCCAGGAATGTTTCTTTATTTATTTGAAACAGACTCTCACTTTGTGGCCCTCAGTAGAGTGCTGTGAGTCTCACTTTGTGGCTCTCAGTAGAGCGCTGTGGCATCACAGCTCACAGTAACCTCCAACTCTTGGGCTCAAGTGATTTTCTTGCCTCAGCCTTCTGAGTAGCTGGTACTATTGGTGCCTGCCACAGCACCTGTCTATTTTTTGTTTTTAGGAATGGGGGTCTCTAAAAAAACCTGGCATAGGCTGGTCTTTTTTTTTTTTTGAGACAGAGCCTCAAGTTGTTGCCCTGGGTAGAGTACTGTGGCATCACAGCTCACAGCAACCTCCAACTCCTGGGCTCAAGTGATTCTCTTACCTTTGCCTCCCAAGTAGCTGAGATCACAGGCGCCTACCTCCATGCCCAGCTAATTTTTGGTTGCAGCCATCATTGTTGTTTGGTGGGCCTGGGCTGGATTTGAACCTGCCAGCTCTGGTGAATGTGGCTGGCACCTTAGCCACTTGAGCTACAGGCGCCGAGCCTCAGTTTGGTATTGAACTCTGAGCTCAAGCAATCCCCTGCCTCACACGCCTGGCTTTCAGAATGTTTTTCTTTTTTTTTTTTGAGACAGAGTCTGGCTCAAGCGATTATCTTGTCTCCAGTAGCTTGACTACAGGTGCCCACCACAACACTCGGCTATTTTTAGAGGCAAGATCTCACTCTAGCTTAGGCTGGTCTCCAACTCATGAGCTTATGTGATCCGCCTGCCTCGGCCTCCCAGAGTACTAGGATTACAGGTGTAAGCCATCGTGTCCGGTCCATAGAACATTTCTTAAGAGACTCAACTGAGTACTGTAGCAAGAATAATTCTAGCATTAGTTTTCATTGGATTCACAAGATTTTTCTAATAGGGTTGTAATGACTTCAGAAAAACACTTTGTTGAAGTGTGAGTCAGGGTCCAATTTCTATAAGACTGAAGTTTGGGATTAATCATGTGAGGAAAGCGTAAGTACCAGAAATGACCTATAAAAGGAAATCAGTTTTATGAAGTCTATAAAAGTGCAGCTATTAGATTTTGTTAACAATCAGTTAAATTAGGAGCAACTATCTATGGCTTAGGAAAAACACACCACAGAGTGTTGTTTCTTTTTTTTTTTTGAGACAGAGCCTCAAGCTGTCCCCCTGGGTAGAGTGCTGTGGCATCACAGCTCACAGCAACCTCCAACTCCTGGGCTCAAGTGAGTATCCTGCCTCAGCCTCCCAACTAGCTAGGACCACAGGCACCCGCTATTTTTTGGTTGCAGCTGTCATTGTTGTTTGGTGGGCTGGGCTCAAACCCGCCACCTTAGGTGTATGTGGCTGGCAACTTAGCCACTTGAGCCACAGGCGCCGAGCCTGTTGTTTCTCTTTAGTGGCAGAAAAGCATTAAGAAATCAAAAGTAAAAGGATGAAGAGAAGGGAGATATTTAGAAAACAATTTGTTAGTAGAGAGCATTGAAATACAATAACAAGATTTGTAGTGGTGCAAAAGATGCTGAAGAATCACAAAATTAACCTTGTTCTCTTGTCTTGAGTATAAACCACCCACTTCTGCAGGCAGCAATCTTCTAATAGATTGGATGTCCAGTAGCCAGGAGAAAACGATGCATATCTTTTTAGTTGGTAACATGAATCCAAGGATCAATGTCTTAGAGTTTTACTGTTGATCCAGTTGTTAATAGTTCCTGATAAGGTCTTTTCTAGTGCAAGGGAAGTGCAAGGGAAATTTCTGTCTGATGCTTTTTCAAAAGACCAATTCTCCTGATTTCAGATCATGCAGAGGATGGATGCTTAGGTAGGTGTTTTGGAAATGCAGAACACCTAAAACACTTAACCCTAAAACACTTGGGAGAACTCATTCTTTTTTTTTTTTTTTTTTTTTAGAGAGAGAGTCTTACTTGGTCGCCCTCAGTAGAGTGCTGTGACACAATAGCTCACAGCAACCTCCAGCTCCTGGGCCTAGCTGATTCTCCTGCCTTAGCCTCCCAAGTAGGTGGGACCACAGGTGCCCACCACAATACCTGGCCATTTTGTTGTTGTTGTTGTTGTTGCAGTTTGGCTGGTGCCAGGCTTGAACCTGCCACCCTGGGTATATGGGGCTGGCGCCCTACTCACTGAGTTACAGGAGGCACCTCTGAGAACTCACTCTTCTTGTACATTCTGTGGATGAAATTTCCACAATTAATACAACTTGAAAGGAGGTCCAAAACTTGTCTCTGGACTTTAGCAGACCTCACAAATGGCACAAGTTTTACTATAGAAGCTCAACAAACCAGTTAAATTTGAATTCATTAGCCAGAGTTTTCATGGACAATCATATAGCTCTATATTTCCTGTTGTTGATAAAGCAGGAATTACCCTATGAGTCCCCTGAGGCCATGATTGATATCAGCTTGTATTTAGGTATCATCTAGTATTGGAACTAATTCTCCATAGTTGAATTTACAAAAAAAAGGAAATAATTTCCCAAACTGAGGCAGTCCTTTATTAACTCAGAAGATAACTTGTGGCTCTTAGAATGGATTGATGTTATCAACATCAAGGCAGATGAAAGCACTTTGGGCTTTGCAAGTTGGAGGGTTTCTGAAACCTTTGGTAACTATTTTTGGAATTCTCTTTATTTTTTAGGTCTTGTTTTTCCTGAAATGTGTAGATGATAATTATTTAATAACAGTATTAATGAAATGTGTGTTCCTGTTACTGGAGATATACATTGGGATTTCCTATTCAGAAATATAAAAATCAAGAATTTTTTCCCTACCATTATAGTCAAAGCTCTCCAGCAAGGAGAAGTCTCAACCTGCCCTAAGAATAAACAATAACCTTAACAATAACCTTAACCATAGTCCATTTAGAGATGTTCAACAGAGCTCCAAGGCTTTGGGCTCTTGTCCACATTCTACCTTTACAGTTTCACCAGGATGTGGTCATTGCCACATAGGATATACATCCTTGGCAATACCCCTAAAATTGTCCTACTGATGTTGGTTCAATATAATTGTTTGTGTATCTCTGGTATTGTGGGTAATGCCATGAAGAATTTTTGCTAGACTCCTTTAATTATGTCTATTTCCTTAGGTAACAGAAAACATGTCAAAATTCTTTCATATGCCATTCATTTCATAGGAGTTCCTAAAGTGTTCAGGAAATCCTTAAGCATTTCAAAACCGTCAATCCAAAAGCATATGCACTATCAGTATAAATAGTTACTCTTTTCTCCTGGACCAATTACAGAAGACTTGGATGGCAAACTGAGTCATCCATTTACTCTGTAAGAGGGTTTGGGAAAATGATTTTTTTTGAGCTTCAGATTCGTCAAACATGAAACAGTAGTAATACTTGTTTCACAGAACTGTGAGTATTTAATGAGTTATTGTACAATAATCAACGGATAATACCTGCCACAAGTCCTTCACACTGACTGTTTCCTTTAATTATCACGTTCACTCTAAGCAATAGGCCATCCTCATTTTATGGACACACAGCCTACGTGTAATCGGTGATGCCAGGATTTAAACTCCAATCCTTCTGATGCCAGCGCCCAGTCTGAAACCCTCTCTTATTCCCTGACACTTTCCTACGGTTAGGTTCAAGCACCCACCATACAGTTTGTGACGTAGCAGACACTCAACCTTAAAAACTATAATTTCCAAGTTTCATTATCACGGGTTTGTCTTAGAGTTTGCTCTTCCCCTGGGGAAGGCACAAAACTACAGCTGAGGGCTAGATGCTCCTCCCGCAGGGCCCTCTGCGCCCCAAGAGCCACCTTGTCCCAGTTTATTGTGAGCTTACAGTACTGTGAGCAAGTCCCCAACCCGTGACGGGGGCCAGGCTGTGGCGTTGCTAGTCTCCAACTCGCACCCGCGGGCTTCCCGCCCGCCCCCGCGGGGCGTCCCTAGCAACGCGCGCGCTCACACCTAGCCCCGCCCCTCCAGGCGGCTCGGCGCCTGCGCTCAGCCGCAACCGCCAGTCAGCTCCGGTCCTTTCCCCGCCCGCCCCCCTCCCCTCCCCCTCCTCCCCTGCAGCCCAGCGCGAGACACCAACATGGAGCCTGAGGACCTACCGTGGCCGGGCGAGCTGGAGGAGGAGGAGGAGGAGGCGGAGGCGGAGGCGGCGGTGTCTGCGTCTGCGAAGTTGGACGAAATCGTGGTGGAGGAGGTAGAGGAGGCAGAGGAGGCGGCGGGAAGGGAGTTGGACTCCGACATTAGCTATGTGTACCAGCTTCTGGAGAGTTCGGACGAAGACGAGGACGAGGAGGCCAAAGCCTGGCTGCAGGCGCATCCCGGCGGGACTTTGCCTACGCCGGTGCACCTAACGAGACACCGCACCTCGGAGGGCGAGCGGCCCTGCCGGGAGGTGAGCCGGGCTGGGGAGAGGTGAGGAGTCTCGGGGGGCAAGGCCGGAGGCTAAGCTCTGAGTGCTCTGCTGGGTTCACTGGCTGCAAAATAAAGAGCGCGCCTTTAAAGGCGAGCAGGGGGCCTTGACTCCCGACTCCCGCCCAGATGCAAACAGACTACTCCTTGTCACCTGTTCTTTCTGGCCGAGACTTCTCTTTTCCTCTCCCTGGGTAAGTCCTCGGTCTTTTGAATTACAGCAGATGTTCCGGGGTGCTAATGGTTCTTTGCGTGTATAGTTACTAATGGTTCTTTGCGTGTGTAGTTAAATACACGCGGGAGGCGGGAGGCTGAAGGCTGTATTGTGTCCTGAAGGAGGGAAAAGGGCGGTGTAGGTTTGGAGAGAGTAGTTGCCTCGGGAGTATCTTGTTCAAGAGACAATTAGCAGATTAACTTGACTGAAGTGTATGACTCTCCTTGAGGGAGTAGTGTGGATTATGTACGTAGCACTATCAGTTAGTCTTGAGAAGCACCTGCGCTTCCCTGGACCTTTGTTTGTAGCAATTAAAGGGGTCCCTAGCCAATAGGAGGGACTTGGAATATAAGAGGCTTGTCATGCAGCTCCAAACAGTCTGAAAACTAGAAAGCAAAAGGTAATACACAGTGGAGAAAGAGCCAATTTCATGGTCGACCTGCTAAGATCAAATGACTCTGTTCAATTTAATGCTAAAAAAAAATTCTGCTTTTCAAGGAGCAAGACCTGTGCTATTCAGTAGAGTAGCCACTGAATATGTGTGGCTCTTTCTATCTTAATTAGTTACAAATAAAATTAAAAATTCACTGCTTTTGTTGTTCTGTAATCACTTTTCAGGTGCTCAGGAGCCACACTTAGCTAGTGGCCACCATATTGTACAGTGTAGATACAGAACAGTTCTATCACCACAGAGGGTGATGCTGTAGACTGTTAATCACTAAAGAGTAGTTGTTTTGCCTGGTTAATATTCCAGTGGGTATTTAATTCATTGAGCATATTTATTAAGCATTCACCTTTTGCCACACATTATGTGGGATGCTAAGGACACGTTGGTGAACTCAAACATTTTTGGTCTTTGCCTTCTTAGGATTCATGGTCTAGACAGGGAGGTAGACAAAATTCAGATGATCACATAAGTAGATGCAAAACTGTTAAGTGTTACCATGGTATGCAAGTGTAAAGTAAGGTGATCTGGGGAAGTCAGGGAAGCTGGGGAAAGCTTTCTTGAGGAGATTATGATAGAGCTGATATCTGAAGACAGATTAAGGTTAATCAGGCACAAGAGCCTTCTAGTTGAGGGGAAAGCACAGAAGGGTACTGTTGATTAGAGAAAACATGGCATTTTCAAAGGTCCAAAGGCAAGTGTGTTTAGAGCACAGTCTACATTGCTTTGTGTGCTATGCAACGAGTTAAGGCTTTTATCTCTGGAGATTGGGCAAGACAGTGAAAGTGTTTTAAACAAGAAATGTCTGATAAGATTTGTGTTTCAGAAAGATCATTTTGTAGCAGGGTAGAGAAGAGATGTGACAGCAGTGTGGGATGGGGGACAGCAGCCATGGGTCAGGGATACTAGTCAATAGGCCAGTGCCTACTGATTAGAGATACTAATCAGCATTGCTGGCAAAAGATGATAATGTTTTGGAATAGGGATATGTTGGTGGATACAGGGAAAATTAGATTCAAAAGATATTTAAGAGGCAAAATAATCATATTTAATAATGGTTTGACTGTGGAAGTTGAGGTGTTCAATGATTAGAGGAGAGGTCTGGGCTGGAGATTTCAAGTTGTAAGTCATCTGTATAGAGATGATAATTAAAGCCACACTTGTGGCTAGGACTTCTTTTATTTTGTTCTGTGACTTGTTTGAATAACTATTAAGGTTTAATTTATATATTTAAACCTGGAAGAGGAATTTTTGAACTAACCTTCTTTAACACCACAGCCAAGGTGAGAAAATTATCCTATTCAACAGTGACTTATCTATGTGCAATAGAAAGTCTTGCTTTTGCAGCCCAGCTTACTTTCCCCTCCAGAATTTTTTTTTGAGAGAAATCAGAAAATATATGAAGATGTAGATGGTATTATGTATTAAAGATAGCTTTAAGGTGATTAATAAAAATTAGGATCATTTTTCCTTTAGGTCACTGACATTAAAACTTAGTGGCATAGGTGAAAAGTGTTTAAAGGAGAAAATGTTTAATATGTTTCTTACTAGAAATGTATGAAGTGTGAAATTCTTAGAAGATGTGTTTGTTGTGTAGCATTTAATGTGTATTCTAAGGTCATCAAGTAATAGGAAAAATTAATTTCATCCAGTTTACTCTCTAGTTAAATGACAAAGTTGAAGTATTCAATTTATTCTCTCATTTCTCATTAGATAATAAGGATGTTCTAGTGTGCTGTATAAGGCAGTGATTAAGTTTGTAGTCCTGTTATTGGGACTGGGGTAAGGTATGGACCTGTTTAAATTTGAAGCAAAATGACCAGCCTTATAATCAAGTCTTTTTTTTTTTTTTTAATAGACAGAGTCTCAGTTTGTCGCCCTTGGTAGAGTGCCATGGCATCACAGCTCACAGCAACCTCCAGCTCTTGGGCTTAGGTGATTCTCTTGCCTCAGCCTTCTGAATAGCTGGGATTACAGGGGCCCGCCACAATGCCTGGCTATTTGTTGTTGTTGTTGTTCTTGTGGCAGTTTGGCCAGGGACAGGTTCGAACCTGCCACCCTTGGTTCATGGGGCCAGCACCCCACTTAGTGAGCCACAGGTGCCACCCCATAACCAAGTCTTTTTAAGAGCTCTGAGAAGTGGGTGATACAGAGCCTTTGTTGTTTATGCTGGTTCTACAGACCATTTGAACTCCTCTCTTTGTAACTGCTCAATGTAAATTTCTTTTTCTTTTCTTTTCTTTTCTTTTTTTTAAGACAGAATCTCACTTTGTTGCCTTTGGTAGAATGCCATGGCATCATAGCTCACAGCAACCTCAAACTCTTGGGCTCAAGCAATTCTCTTGCCTCAGTCTCCTGAGTAGCTGGAACTACTACAGGCGCCTGCCACAATGCCCTGCTATTTTTAGACACAAGGTCTTGCTTGGCTCAGGCTGGTCTTGAACCCGTGAGCTCAGGCAATCCACTCACCTCAGCCTAAGTGCTAGGATTATAGGCATGAATCACTGTGCCTTGCCTCTTCGATGTAAATTTCTGAGCTATGTTGGGGTAGATGATTCAGTTCTGTGGTTTGGTATCACTAGAAAATCTTGGTCTCCAATTTTTTTTTTTTTTTTTTTTTTGAGGTAGGGTCTCACTCTGTGCCCTGGGCTAGAATGTGCCATGGTGTCAGCCTCATTATAGCACCTGGGCTCAAGCTATCCTCATAGCTCAGCCTCCCAAGTAGCTGGGATTATAGTCACCTGCCACAATGCCAGGCTAATTTTTACTATTTTTTAGTAGAGATTAGGTCTCACTCTTGCTCAGGTTGGTCTTCAACTCCTGAGCTCAAGGAATCCTTCTGCTTTGGCCTCCCAGAATCCATTGTCAAATGTGAGGTTGTGAAGACCACCTACTTTTATGTTTTCTGTGACAATTGTATAGCTTTTACTCTTACATTTAGGTCTTGATCCACTTTGAGTTAATTTTTATATATGGTATGAAGAAAGGGTTCAAGCTTCATTCTTTTGTATGGGATTTCCCAGCATCATTTGTTAAAGAGACTTTTTTTCCGCTATTGATCATCAAAAATCAATTGACCATAGCTAACCATATAGGGGTTTATTTCTGGACTTTCAATTCTGTTCCATTGATCTATATGCCTAGCCTTGTGCTACATCACACTTTTTTAATTACTGTAGCTTTGTTATAAGTTTTTTTTTTTTTTTTTGAGACAGAGCCTCAAGCTGTCCCCCTGGGTAGAGTGCTGTGGCATT